ATCATCACAACTCACTTTAAACTTCTGGACCACAAGCTAAAGTGTCTGTTCAGTGATATGCTCATGTTTAAGACCACGAAACTGGGTCATTCTTGATGCCTATGACAAGCTGGACAGGACATATTGACTCAGTGAAACATTTGCATAGACGGAGTGAGCACTTCCTTCCTGTGATGCATAATAGATGTATAACCCACAATAATGTGTATGTAGAGTAAAATGATGTTTACCTAGGTATGAACTAATTAAATTGAATAAGTACAGGCTGCAGTGTTCAGTGTTCAATGCATCAGAATATTCTAAATTACACTTTCAATGGTCTGGGAATTTCAATTAGATGGTTACTCATTCATAAATGACATGATGCTCTTGCATAAACCTACTGTTGCACTCAATCGAAATGTCTCTCTTCATAAACCAATGATTAAAAGTTTAGCATAAGTCTTGTGTGCAAAAACTATAGATAGCATTTCCATTAATTTTTTGACGAAATAGATCCATTGCTCACAATAGAGCATTGTCTAATAATGCTCATGACCATACAGCATGCATGAGATTGATAGTATTGTTTGCATAACATACATGTACAGTATAATAAATGAATGTATGCCCTCATGACTGCTCACAATAGAGCATTGTCTAATAATGCTCATGACCATACAGCATGCATGAGGTTGATAGTATTGTTTGCATGACATACACGTACAGTATAGTATACATGCTCTATATAGCATAATAGTACATGTATATTATATTGAAAGTCAGCAGGCCTCGGGCTGATTGATGGATCCTGTCAGCAATGAAAATTTTAAATATGTTCACAATTATGCAAAATCAATATTATGACTTGTACAGGAAACACACTATTTATCATCTGCATTATCAATCATCATTGGTGTCCAATCCACCCAGTCATACAGATCAATACTTGGCTTGAATTGATAGTTACACGTAACTCCATAAGATCTATTGTTAACTTTAAAATGAGGTATGAGCACGATTCTATCCTTCTTGTCCACTACAACAGGTAGTCCTTGTCAAGCAATTGGTGGCGGTAACTTAAAATCAACATTTTTTTTCTCACACCTTTAGTTACCTCCGCATTGAATCTTTCTCGTCATGGTGTAATGAAAAACTCCTCTCCTTCTTTTAAGGAACCAGCTCCAGGAGTGTCAGGGGGTAGTTTCAACAAACTGAGGAGAAACCGATTATCCCAATGAACCGTTTCTCCTAGTTTTATTGGCTGAGTGTCAAAAGTCCTCCTTTCCTTGAAACGGGCAACGCAAAAATATGACAAATGCCTTGTGGTGGACTTCTGTTAAAAGATGCTGCAGAATCCTAAACTGATGTTCTTAGAAACGACATCATCTTTGAACTCTTTGCAGACTCTATCAAATTTCTTAGTAGACAGGTGAAGATGCTCCCTTCTTACAAACTGTAGAATTACATATAGGAGGTTCAATGCTATCGAATAAAGAAGATTAACAAAAGTATCGTAGTGAACTTTTCCATAACCATAATTTTCGTCAACCTTTACACCTTTGTTAACTGCTTGACGAACTATAAAGAGAGAGAGATAGAGGTACCATAGGGGGCCTTTTTCCGAGGGCTGTAAATTTTGCAAATTTGCCTAAAGGTCTATTTCGCGGATTTAATTTTCGCAAATTTATGCCATCTGCCATCTTGTACTGTAATAATTTGACTTTTGCAAAAGTAATTTTCACAAATCTTCAAAAAATCTCAAAATCCGCAAAATTTACAGCCCTCAAAAAAAGGAACCCTACAGTATAAGATATTTTTCTTTCATATCCAATTAATTTAGCATGCCCCTATGTACACTGTAGCATGTGGTCTTTGGTCAAAAAAGAAAAAGAAGTAAATAGTCTATTAATAATTTCTTCTATGTACTACAGGTACTTATGTTACATAGAAAATTTTAAACTTGGTCTGATCACGATTAGATTTTTTTACAAATTTTCAAATTTGGTCAAAGATTGATCCAAAGTCCCTGTACTATTACATGATACATGGTCATCGGCCAAATTTCACCAAAAATGAAAAGGAGAGATTTCTTCAGTTTTATCGATTTTCTTGACATATATACATGTTCTTACACTGTGTAGAAAGTTTGAGCTGATTCCATTCACAATTGGATTTTTTACGAAATTTTTAAAGTTGCTACAAATGTGAAAAAATCTTTGAGCAAAACTATAAAGCCTAAGACATACAAATACTAGGTAGAAAACTCATTCGTTGGAAAAAGAAAAAAAATAGACAACTTTCAAACCCAATGATTGTGATGAGAATTTTACATGATGACACAAGGGCATGCAATTCAATTTTAATTACAAATACACAAAGTTCTTGCATACTATATTACGTGGTTGTACATCAAATTTCACCAAAAATGAACAGAAAAAATTCTCTACTTTTATTATTATTTCTGATATGTATACATGTACTTGTGTTGTATAGAAAGTTTGAGCTCATTCCAATCAAAATTAGATTTTTCTAATTTCCATGAGGTTGAGAGTATTGTTTGCATACAGTACATGTACAGTATAGTAAAATTAATCTACCTATGGTCGTGACAATACAATAGAGCATTGTCAAGCAATGCTAATGGTAACATACAGCATGATAAAATTGCATAGTATGAGAATGTACTGTATATTATGTTGGGAACATTATTCTCAAATAAGCTATAGCACATGACACTCACGATTGTTAAGTAATTTAACTTTTCACTGAGAATGACTTTATTAGTTAAAAATGAGATTGTGATTATTAATAGCCCATTGGCTCTGAAATAAATTTATTAAAACATTTGTTATTATCTTTTACTATCCTTTTCTCTTATACTCTTTCACTCCATAAATGCACAGCAAACTGAACTAAAACTCTAGTCCATTTTTGTCGCCAATTTAATCACTCTTGCTAAAATTACATTGCAATAACTGAATAAATTGATGAATTATATTGACTATGCACTCAAAGTAGATCTGTTTTAGTAACAGTTCATTACAAGTACTTTTTTCTAATGTCATTAGCAACCTCCCTCTCTCCCATTGCATCTAGTGCTGCTACTAATGATATCCAGTTTGATCCACCTCCTCTTGTTTCTCTTACTCCATCCTCTCCTTTTAGCCAGGAAGATATACACTCCATAAGACATTTCTTTGATTTCCCTCTATTATCTTCTTCGATTGCTTTTAGTGTACGCTCATATAATCCTAAGTAGAGACCCAACTGATGCCAATCAGTATAATCAAACTGTTGATTTGATGTCAATTCTTGAAGGACTACAGCAAGATCTCTAATATCTGCATTTATATGATGATGATGATGATGATAATAATAATAATAATAATAATAATAATAATAATAAATAACACAAACTCTCTTAGTCTTACCAAGCAGTCTATTGGCAATGTGTGTTTCTTGTACTTTATCATTGATCGTACAAGTATGTGTATCAATATCTATGCATTATTAAAATTAATGATAATTATAGAATATCTTGCTACACACAAGTACCTTTTTGTTGATCATTGTCAGACTCACTGATCTGTGTGGGGATGTAATTTGTATCTGATTTGACCTTTTGAATTGTTGGCTCTACATAAAGTATAGTATGTATAAACATAAAGGTTGTGTATTGCTGAAGTTAGACTATGCTGAAGTTAGACTATAGTGCTGAAGTTACAACTCATTCCAGTCTAAGCAGAATTTTGATGATAAAATTACATTCCATCAATTAGACAAACTCAAGTTATAAAACACAAAATTAAACTCAATGTTAAGTAACGATACATTATTTTCAGTACCTGCACTGCATGCTAACTCTAACTTAATTTGGCACTGGAACTAACTATATAATACTGCATGCACTGAAAATGTAATGGCAATGAGTAAACAAATTTTTAAAGCAGTCACTATCCTATAGTCTCATTACTCCACAATTATGATAAATACATACATGTATTACTCCTACATACAACATACCTAGCTTATTTGCAGAGACTATGTTGAATTCTTCAGGTATTTCAATCACTTCCTAATTAAGCAATAGATTATTAATAATGTAAACATACTGACAAAGTGAGTGTTGCACCCTTGCTTCATGCATGCCTAGGTGTGGCAAGGGTAATAACTGATAAGTGTCACAACGCTTGTATGTTATTACTAGTAAATAGAGCCATACAAAGACAACCCACAACACAGACTGTGTAATGTAATTTATAAAATAATTTCCTTTAAGATATGTGTGTATTAAATCTTACCTTTATATCACGTCCTCCTAATAGTGACAGGTTACTAATATCTGATAATGATTCATCAGGTAGGATCTCCTTCACTTCTTTATGTCCTTTATCACTCACAAGAAATGGTCTTCCTTCCTTAATTGCTGATAGTAAATCCAAAACTTCATAAACCGTCCTTTCTCTTGGTGTATTTACAGGATAGGCTAGTTCTTCGGGGTCAATTGATAATGCTTTAACTTTTAAACCAGGGCAGGATTCTTTATAAACACTCATTACCTCTCCTATCACATTCCTTCTTAGAGACACCATGTTGTCACTGTAACCTTTCTCACAGGACATCATTACTAGTACACACTGGCTCTCATCAATAATCTCTACTAATACTTTCACACCATAACCATCAAACCATTGAAGACCATTGCTCCAAAATTTGCATTTACGATTCAATTTTTCAGCTAATTCCTTGTTCCCTTTTGATAACGAAAACTTAAAAGCAAGACGTAATGAGAGGACGTGAAAGTATCGAGGAGGAAAGAAATGATGTTCTCTAGTACACTGTAGACACCAACCAAACTGGTACACTTGACTAGTCATTGTCTTAGATCTATCGCTAGACAAAAGACATGGGAAGAACAACAACCTTTCTCCTTTTCTTTCCATCCCTCCCTCCTCCTCCTCTTCCTCTGCTAACTGATGGAGGTTTGTCATTCTTAGGAAAGATGGATCCAATTCTTGACAGAGTTCCATGTTCTTCAGGAAACAGATCAACATGTCAGGATCATATTCAGGGAAGAGTCTAGTCAAACCAGACACACTAACAATACCAGTATTGCTAGCAATGTCAACATGTTCTTTGAATGTCTTTGGAGCAAAAAGAATCCCATCCACCTCAGTTAGTAGTATACCCTTATTCACAACAACCCATACCTTGTCTTCAATTTTATGAACACTGATCAAGCCAGTTGAGTGCAAAGAACCAAGAACATCCAAGACATCCTCTCTATTATCTGGTATAACATAATCATTGTCCTTAGCAGCAGACACTACATCAAAAAGGGTCAGTATATTTTCCTTCCTTTCCTCCAGTATTCGGTACATTTCATGACAATAAAGACTCAAATTCCTTCCACTTGTACTACGAATGGACTCACAGGCACTAGACAAATTGTTAAGTAAGGAATCCACACCACTCCCACCAAGCTTACGACAATCTAAAAAAACACAATCACATTTTTCCCTTAAAATAACTTCCTGTAGTTCTTCTTTTCTCCTTTTCCTTTTAATAGGATTGCTTATCTCATCCACATGACTGACTATTACAATAATACGGCATTGATTAAGAGCTTTCTGTGCTTCATTTCTTACAACAGTTAGCCACTGATAAAGCTGTTTGACTGCTTCCTTCTCCAATATATTGACTACTATCAGGAACACACCACCAGAACCTTGTAACAGATTCTCAATAACAGCACTGTGACTAGAGTAGTATTCTGAATGACCAGCAAAATCGTGAAGAATGATGTTACCCATTGTCCTGTGTTGTAGTTTATAAGGAATGATGCCAGCAGTACAGGGCACTACTCCTTTGACATTTCTAAAAGAACCAAGAAGAGTAAAACTAGCTGTGTCATTGATGACATGACTAAGAGTGCTTTTACCAGCTCCAGGATTACCCACAAGGAGAACATTAACATAAGAGTCAATTGGATGAGATATTTTAATGTTACCAAACTTTTTGAAGATAGCTAAGATAGTATCATTATATTTATTAGCTAGTTGCAATGGTGTTGTCCCCTTTTTGTCTTTAGCCAAAGGATCACAATTACCAGTTGATAATAAGTATTCAACAACTTCAGCTGTACCCCAACCAACAGCATAATGAAGAGGTGTCCATTTATCTGTATCAGTGGCCATTACATTACAGTTGCACTCAATGACGAGATACTTTACGACATCTATGTGTTTAACGGCACGATGAAGAATAGTCTGACCACTATTGTTAGTAATCATTAGATTACAGTGATGAGTATTAATGAGGTACTTCAAGACATCAAGTGATCCTTTACTAGCTGCATCATGTAGAACAGTATTTCCAGATTGATGACGAGTCATTATATTACAGTTGCACTCTTCAATGAGGTATTTAACAACATCTATGTGCTTAACGGCATAATGAAGAACAGTCCGACCATAAGTATTACAATATTGTTCATCCATTATATGACCATTAATATTCATGACCATACACTTCAAGACATCAAGTGAGCCTTCTTCTGCTACATAATGAAGCACATCAGATAGATCATAGTAAGAACCAGGAACTTGACAAACTTTAATAAGATAGTTAATTATATCAACGTGATTACCTCTAGCAGCTATAAAAAGATAGGATCTACCATTATACTTACTAAGTGGATCAAAGTGATAATTAGTGATGAGATTTCTTGTAACATCTAACCAGCCATTGCATATAGAATAATAAAGCAGGTCAGCTTCATACCGGTGAAGTACGTCAGGATCCTGTAAGCGTAGTAACCGAACGGCTTCTTCATGATCTCTTCTTTTGAATGCATCCCTAACTTGTTCTCTACGTAGCCGTCCTTCCATCATTAAGTTAACCCAGACTATCGTTCAATATCCAAAGGGTAAGAACACTGACAGAGAGCGCGCTGAGCTAGCTATGGGGAGAAAAACGTCAGTCGTCAGGGCCCGGCCCGCACATTAGATTAGACCATAGATACTGATTAGCTTATTAGACACCAGCTCAGGAATTTTAGCCCCCCCCCCCCAGTATAATACTATAATATGAATGGAGAATGTGCGTCGCAAATCCGTGTCCAAAGAATTCAACTAATTTTTATTACCTTGATAATCAACCAGAGGACTTTATCTAGGTTTAGCTAATGTGTCTTACCATGGTCTTACCACATTAAGGGGCTCCGCCCACAGGCATCATTTATAATAATAATAATTTTATTTCATTGTGACACAACCGTATTCAATGAAGATTAAGCTGTAATAATCATTAGATGACACAGACAAACTTACTCTCATCTTAGTGGGCTTTGCCTGATTATGTGAAAAATTTAATGTCCTTCAATTTACTACAAATTATTACAGTTTTCTCTGTCTGTTCATTATAAATAGTTGGATGACATACACATTACATCTCTCCTATTTGATCATAGTCCGCATTCCAAATTCACAAGCTATGTTTTGTCCTTAAATATATACAAAGTTACAAACCGTAACTATAATAATGTTATTATGTACGGAGTTAACAGAGAAAATATGCTATTTATCATCTGCATTATCAATCATTAGTGGTGTCCAATCCACCCAGTCATACAGATCAATACTTGGCTTAAATTGATAGGTACACGTAACTCCATAAGATCTATCGTTAACTTTAAAATGAGGTATGAGCACGATTCTATCCTTCTTGTCCACTACAACAGGTAGTCCTTGTCGTGCAATCGGTGGTGGTAACACAAAAGCACGGTTTTTTCTCACGCCTTTAGTTAACTCCGCATTGAATCTTTCTCGCCATGGTATAATGAAAAACTCCTCTCCTTCTTTTGGGGAACCAGCTCCAGGAGTGTCAGGGGGTAGTTTCGACAAACTAAGGAGAAACCGATTATCCCAGTGAACCGTTTCTCCTAGTTTTATTGGCTGAGTATCAAAAGTGCTCCTTTCCCTTGAGCGAGCAACGCAAAAATATGGCAAACGCCTTGTGGTGGACTTCTCTTGAAAGATGTTGCAGAATCCTAAACTGATGTTCTTAGAAAGGACATCATCTTTGAACTCTCTGTAGACTCTATCAAATTTCTTAGTAGACAGGTGAAGATGTTCTCCTCTTACAAACTGTAGAATTACATATAGGAGGTTCAATGCTATCGAATAAGGAAGATTAACAAAAGTATCGTAGTGAACTTTTACATAACCATAATTTTCGTCAACCTTTACACCTTTGTTAACTGCTTGACGAACTATAAAGAGAGAAAGAGGGGGTATCAGATAATACCTTTCATATCCTATTAATTTAGCAAGAGAATGGAGTAGTTATTATCCTAAACTATAGCATGTGGTCTTTGGTAGAAAATGAAGAAGAAAATTGTCTATTAATAATTTTTTCTACATGTATGTTGAAAAGAAAGTTTGAGCTGAGTCTGATCACAATTAGATTTTTTTACAAATTTTAAAAGTTGCATGGTCAAAAATTCGGCCAAAGTCCCTATACTATTACATGGTACATGGTCATCGGCCAAATTTTACCAAAAATTAAAAGGAGAGAATTCTTCAGTTTTATAAATTTTTCTAATACATATACATGTTCTTATATTGTGTAGAAAGTTTGAGCTGATTCCAAGCAAATTTGGATTTTATATGAATTTTTAAAGTTGCTTCAAAATCAGGTCAAAGTCCCTGTACTATAGTACAGGGGTGTTCGCCAAATTTCGCCAAAAATGTCAAGTTGAGAATTCTTCGTTTTTATAATATTTTCTGATACATATACATGTTCTTATGTTGTGTAGAAAGTTTGAGCTGATTCCAATCACAATTGGATTTTTTTTTACAAATTTTTAAAGTTGCTCCAAAATCAGGTCAAAGTCCCTGTACTATAGTACAGGGGTGTTGGCCAAATTTTGCCAAAAATGTCAAGTTGAGAATTCTTCGTTTTTATATTTTCTGATACATATACATGTTCTAATATTGTGTAGAAAGTTTGAGCTGATTCCAAATCACAATTGGATTTTTTACAAGTTTTTAAAGTTGCTACAAATGTGAAAAACTCTTTGGTCAAAACTATGAAACCTAAGACATGAATATGCCAGGTACTTGTATCAAGGTAGAAAAATCATTTTTTTGGCAAAAGAAAAGAAAAATAGACAACTTTCGAACCCAATCATTGTGATAAAGATTTTACATATGACACAAGGGTATGCAATTCAATTTTAATTACAATTACACAAAATTTTAAAATAATTATAATTACCACTTTATACAGTATCATTACATGCACAGCCACAAATTCACAAAAATGGCACATATTGCTTAAGGAGACAATTATTTGCAGGTATTTAACTTAGCGAATTTTCGCAATTTAAAAAATTGCTAACTTTTAAGTCCACGCTAACTTTTATTTCTGATAAATTAGTGATAGTTATTAATATTAAATGATCAAAACCAGCCAAATGTCAGTATCATGAAAATCTATAATAAGTACATGCTAATAATTGTCTCTTTAAGGTACTCTCTCCTCCATAACTACTAAAAAATTTGTCCAAATGGATCATACAACAAATTACCTTCCTGTAGCATTTTGGTTTTAGCATTGCCACAAGTTTTTATTAATTCGGTGAGCCCTTGGTAGAGTTGAGGGTTGTCATTGAGAAAGAGTCTGATTGTATTACGCCAAAATATAGGAGAGGAATTTGTAGGATCTTCCACCCAGTCTAACTTCTTCTCTTTACACAATTCTACCAATGAATCCTATCATAAAAAATACCCTTAATTTTCATGGCACAATAGTTCATAATAGATGTATATACAATTGTCAACATTTTGAAATGTCATGACTACCGTATAACGCTTTAATTTGGCGGAGTTTTATTCTGGCGATTGGCGATTTGCAAGCAGAATCGCCAATATTAAAACCACCAATCATTAATGCGCATGCTCAGTAATGCATGTGTAGACAAAAATCGCCAAATTAAAAACCACCGATTACAATTTTACAGCAAAATCGCCAAAATAAAGCACCGCCAAAATAAAGCATTATACGCTATTACATGTAAGTCAATGAATGCTGTTGGGGAGGATTACAAAATCTTAAAACTATATTTACTGAGTTTCAAAAATTATTTCAAGAAATACTAAAAGTTTAAACACACAATACAATTACTTTTTTAAAATCAAGAAGAGGCTTGATCACTTTAATGCCAGGCATGTTAACAAATCTTGTTACATGAGACAAACCAGCCAAACCTCCAATTCTGCTCAACCTCGCCATACGATACAAGAAAGTCTCTAGAAAAAAAAAGAGAAAAGTACAGAAATATACACACCCGGTAATTTTCATCCCTGATTCAGGACTGTTACACAAAATTACTGAATCAAGTCTGGTATCAGTACTGGTACAGCCCTGACGATTTATTGTTACTGAATCAGAAAGTCGGTCTGGCCTGATCCAGTATAAATGCTTATCATACCTGTACCATGGCTGAGTCCATGATTGTGTCAGGCTGATTGCCTCATGTCTATGTCTCATATCAGGACTGATTCAGGCTGACACCAGTCCTGATCCATGTACCAATTACTGGGTGTGTGAAAGAACTTTTCTTTACCTATCTGGTCATTCCAGTGGTGTCCGGTCATCAAGATGTCAATATTGTTATCGTTACATATTTCAAAAAGATTCAATAATCGCCTATCTCTGCAAACCCTTTGAATTCTACCTTCCGGTACACTTTCAGACCAGTCCCATGTAACGAGCTTGTGCTCCACCCCTAGGAACAAAAAGAATTTACTTTTTTGACACATTACCATGTACATGTAATACACATACACGTAACATAAAAATACCAAGAGTATATGACCATCATGCACTCGTACATACTGTACATGTATAGCTGGAAACTTTCAAAGAACTTAACTTTGTTAAGATTTGTAAAATTAAAATCCGCAAAAATCAAGCTATTATGGCACAAGATTGACAGAATGCTATAAATAAATCTGTGAAAATAAGGATCTGTGAACTCAAAAGTTTCCAGCTATACAATACACAATGATGAGAATAATAATAGTACCTATAATAAAGAAAACGTGTAATATACAATACATACACATAGATTGTTTTTCTTTTTTAATAATTTTTCCGTAGTTTCCACATTTTGTTTGTTTAGCTTAACTCCCCCTCCCTTGCCTTTTTCTCTGTTCTTATTAGTGTAATGATGATAATAACTAAGTGAATGTAAACATTAAAAGGACAAGCATGAGGTCTGAGCTACACAAAAATACAATTTAAATGAACTTTGCCTTCAGCAATAACAAAACATACATATTGGAGCCTCAATGTGGTCTAATTGTTAGGTACAGTTTACTCATGTACATGTAGTACTTGTCTCATATAACACATTCAATTTTCATTATAAATATAAAACCATACCTAGGCTTTCAACAATCTCTTTTGCTCTGATTGCTTCTTTGTCACTTCCTTCTCTTAAACTAATAAAAAAACAGGAAAAATATAAAACCCTATTACCTAGGGTGCCTTTTTTCAAGGGCTATAGATTTGGCAGATTTTATTTTGTGGATTTAATTGTTGTGAATTTTTGCTGTCTGCCATCTTGTAGTATATTAATTTGACTTTCATGGAAGTAATTTTCCTGAGTCTTAAAAAATCGCAAAATTCATGAAATTGACAGCCCTAAAAAAAGGCGCTCCACAGTATAAGGATGTACATGTATGTGTAGGGGTATAAACGTGTGACCAGATAACTGATTACTTATGATCAACAGTGACTGCTAGGACTCCATCACCAAACACTTGTTTTGCTAAATACGTGAGAGCAATGCTGTCACTGCCACCAGACACACCAACACCTAACAGAGAGAGAGGGGGGGGGAGAGAAAGGAGTGGTGAAAAATTCGATGTATATAGACCACCCAGAGTGAGAATTGCAAAAGCTATGAATTTCATTAATTTTATATACGGTATCTGCCCACGCACCATAATTAGCTGCCATTTTGGTTGGCAAGTTTGTTAAGGAAGTCAATGGAGGCACGAAGAAAATGCCTCACTAAACCTGCTGTAGCTCTATCAATAGCTAAAAAGTGCTTGTTATAAGAAAGAATAGCTACCTTTAAGCTTATCCTGTGAAAGATTTGGTCAAATTCACTCCAGAATTCTTAATACAGGTTTATTTTTATGTCGTCCTGTTTGCTCTCCATTGAAAGTTGCCAACCAAAACGGTGGCCGGAATTTATTTCATTGTAAACCACGCCTTACAACCCTAATAGTCTTCCCACGCAAGCAATTCTCACTCTGGGTGGTCTATACATGCAGCTAGTTGTGTACAAAATTTTAGTCAAAAATTTAATCATAAAACAATAAAGCCCTAGTCTTGCCATGTCCCCTCAAATCTAAAAGGGAGTTGCAAAGTAATAAAACCTTTAAAAACTTGGCTATACGGTACCCAAAATGAAAAAGGCATTAAGTTGAAAGAATGAAACGGGAACAATAAAAACAAAACAGATTTATAAAATATCAAAAAATAAATGAAAAAATAGGAAACTAATATACTTACAAACTCTAGAGGACGGGGGAATGGAGAGACGAGAGAGAACAGACTTGAACAAAGAAATGGTGACCATGTTTGAGCACGTGGACACTAGCACTGCCTGTAGTGGAGGTGTGGCTGATTTGTAAATTTTGGTAGGCGTGGCTGGTGTACCCACGTGTATATATTGTGTGGTGATACTGTGGTCACACTTTCAAAACGGAGGAAGCTGAAAAGGATGGAGAGAGCTTGTGTTTGTGTCTTTCTGGTTTTGTGCCTGACACAGGCAGTGTTATGTCAAGGTAAAACGTATTTTGTCTATTTTTAATTTACAATTTGTCTTTTAGAGGAATGTAAGCTAAACTTTACAAGTCAGCCATTGCCTGAGCTAACTTGTCGCCCAACAAAAGCAAGTACAATTATATTTCTGTATTGCACAGTCTCTGATGCTGACGCTACTCTGACTTGGTTTCGTACTCAACATGAAGACCAGGCTGGTATTAATGGAACTGCTATTAATGAGAGTAACACTTCAGATCCATACAGTTTTCAGAGCATTAACCACTACCAACCTTCACTCACATTTACAATTAATGATGATACACTTGGTTACTACTGGTGTGAAATCACTGATGCTAAGTATAGCAATTTGTCATTACGTCTTAGTACAGTGACTCACGTACGAAACTCCAGTGAATATAATTCTTCGTTACCGAACTGTCCTACTAGGCCCTCACTTGTGCATTTTGAAAATCGATATGATCAGTGTGCCATAATTTCTACATCTTCCTCATCAACCGTTCTATCTCCAACGCCATCAAGTGAGGCATCAATACAAGACTCAGTCAGTATTACTGATGCTGCTAGGTCTAGTAGTATCAGTAATATTGATACTGCTAGTTGGTCTAGTAGTATCAGTAATATTGATACTGCTAGTTGGTCTAGTAGTATCAGTATTACTCCCTCTATGTCATCATCCTTTATTTACTCTGCTTTGTCTACCTCTCCTTCATCTTTAGTTCCTTCCCTTTCCCCATCACCTTCACTCTCATTATCAGCTACTACTAGTAGCAGCAGCCTCTCATTTACACCCACACAGTCCCTTGAGCCATCTCCCACCACAACTGGAGACACAGAAAATAACGTATTCATACTCTATGCATTGGCTGGTGTGTGTGGACTGCTTGCAGTGATTGCATTAGTCATAGTTATAGCCATCTTTGTCCTTTGTTACTTGACAAAGCATCAGTCAAGGAGAAGGAGCTACACACCCAAAGGTTAGTTTACATTGGCGTGTCCACTTAAGCTGAGCAGCGTAGTATTGGCGTGGCTACAATGAATGGCTTCTGTATTAGTTACTACATCCTTCTCTTAATTATTAGGGCAAGCTGGAGAGGATTCCTCTGGTGTAGGAGGCAGGAGAAACAGGTAATGCACATGAATCACCATAGAATAACATTTACCTTCTATGTCTACCTTGTTATTAGTGATGATGAAAAACCATCAAGCCAATTGCCTCAGCAAAACACAAACAACAACATTAATTCTTCACATCATCCGCCCCCACCCTCTCAGATTCAACAGCGTGGGCTATCTTTCAGTAATCCCGTCTATGATATTGCTAAAGTACAATCATCTGATGATTCTAATGCATTTGATGTTTTCCCACCGAGGATAGTACCCCCTGATCAACCTAAAACTAACTCTCTCCCAAAATATGCTAAACCGGATTTAAGCAAGAAGAAATCTCACAGTGACGAGGAATATGTATCTCCCCATAACACATTGCCAAGTGGGTCTGATGGCATGTATGATCAAGTAGCAATATCCCCTACTGGTACTAGTAGTACCATTGGATCACGACCACCCCCACCTGCAGAGGAGCCACTTGAGCTTCCCCCATCTCTCAATTTGTATGATGATCCGAACCAGCTCTCCCCCATACTTCATTCGCCACCAGCAGCATACGAGGAGCCACACCTAACTTCACCAAATATCTCATCTCCTCCTCCTCTCCCTCCCCCACCAGTTGAGTCAGCACTGTATGATGACCCACACGAGGTCATATCACCCTCACAACAGAGGCCTGACAGCTACATGCAACCGCTCTCCCTCCTTGATAATATTAATAATGGAGGAGAAAAAGAGAGTTATTACAGCATACCAGCTGATGCCATGCCACACCAGTATCACGAGCTAATCAACATGCAAGAATCAAGTCAAGCTTCAACTACTACTACTACTGCATCTACTAGTGCAGGTAATGAGACCAGTACTGCTCCTGATAATTCTGCAGCTCCACAAGAGAGTGCATATGATGATCCTTGGGGTTCTATGCCTACTGGAATAAAAAGAGGAAGCAGTCGGAGTAGTAAGTCGCATGGTGGGAGATCCCACTCAATCACTCACTCGGTCTCGCCTAACCTGTTTGACGACCCTCAGTATGACACGCCCTCTCCACATCAAACCACTCCCATTGAGACAAATAATTATTAAAGCAGCACAATAAATAATTACAGAAATATTACTATTGTCGCTAATATTAGTTGGTGTCAGTTAGAAATGTCATTAATTATTTTTATAATAATAATAATAATAAGATTAAGGATAAAAATGGTAAAATCTCATGTTAATAATCATAGTTTGAAGAGCACTTAAAAAGATTTGGGGTCATACAAAGAGTATAAATCAAACACAGAAAGACGAAACAAATCAATCAATACATACATGTATCACACAATGTCCTCCTTTCATACAGTATAAGGGACTGTCAAGTCATTGTTGCTACGTCTGCTTCTATCCTTTTCTCTCTTTATCAGTGGTGTCCATGACAGTATAGCCGCCACTAAAGCCACAGCAGTACCAATAATGATAACAATAAAAGCCCAACCGATTCTACAATCTCCTAGTTTATATAAACCTGAATTCAGACCACAGAGTGATGTCACACGCGGGCTATTCCACCCAACAGGAAAGACAAGTATTCCAGCAATGTATAGCAGAACTAAAAGTGAAGCAAGAAAGGGATTTATGTTGTTAACACAGAATAATGTAAAATACAACGGGCATAGTTTCTATAATAACATCAGTAATTATCCACTCTCGATAACATGCATTACTAAAGATTCAGGAAGAGAGAGGAAGAGAGATGGCAGATAGCCAAAGCTATTGATAGGAAAAGAATTAGAGGAGGAGCCATGATAATTGGAAAAGGAAGAGAAAGGCAGCTACAGAACACACACACACATGGAGATTTGATTTGACAGCCAATGCCAAATTAGGTGTGGCATCCTTGTTAACATAGCTCAGACATAAAGGCACATTCATAAAAGTGTCATAGTAATTAAAAGTCTTCCATGCAATCATACAATATCTCCAATCATAAAGTGATTGATTATCATCCTAAAACCATCAATCTCAATTGAAAAATACTAAAATTACAATTATCTGTATTAGATTACGACATCAGTAAACAATCCCCTTCAAAAATAACAACCGTGAATTTACTTACCTCCAATGGTCTGTGATGTTATCGTTATTATTCCCACACATTTATTGAATAAGTGTCTTATACACAATCCAAATAAGCTGGTCAATGCAACCAGTATCAATAGACAAGCACCTAATCCAAATAAGAGTGTTACTGCCTGCCACGCCGCCGAGTATATTTCCCCAAAGCTGAGGTACTCCTCGCACGCAACTGATATCTGTGAGGTATCGTTGGGACATCTTCTAAAGCTGGACAGTGAGGTTATTGAGTTACCGTCCGGCGAGACTCTTTCCAGCCAGTTCGAGAAGTAGAGGCCAAAAGGACACAGGAGTGCAGCTATGACGGAAAGGACAGTCCAAATGTATGCCAAAGGTGTATAACTGGAGCAACAAGATGCCATTGTGTCGGATATTCAGATGCTGGAGGCGTGGCTCAAATAGCATAGGCGTGGCTAGTTAATTAATAGATCTAATGAAATTATGGAAATTAATCATCTACATTTTTAGCACCTTCAAAGTTTCAAACCTATTCAAGTTTGCTGCAAGTAGTCATAAGTGAATGGTGAAACCCAGACTGGAGCCAAAATACAAAATACCAGTAATCCAGGGCAGTTTAATTAGCGTGGGTGTCAATTTGGGGTGTTTTTTGTTTAGGGTGTGGCTCATTATGGAGATGAGCACAGGGCGTGGCAAGGTAGAAGAACTAAACACATCATTCCCCGTCAGTGGGAGAAAAGGAGGCACTGCACTGCTAGCTTGGAGTGAAGAAGGACCAGCCATGCCTCTCGCAAGCAATGAGCTTGAAATATTACAAGTTAGAAAACTCATCTATTGCACCAGAGAGCAAGACAAAGCACAGATACTTAAGCTTTTGGAAGGAGGTATACCCAACCTCGTCAATTACCAAGGTAGGAAGGACCTGTGTTAGCCACAAAATACCATTTTTATCAATGGATACTGCTTAGTCTAGTATAGTTGTTTATTAGTCGCCATAGCAACACCAGTAATTATTATTACTATACTGGGTGTGGAACATGGCCTATTGTACGTGTGTTCTTTATTATTTCTTGTTCCTCAGATCCTAATAATGGTACAACAGCTTTACACGTGGCAGTCACTCTTAATCTAGATGGTATAGTTGCTTTGCTTCTGGAGAATGGAGCAATAAATTCAATACAAGATAAAGAGGTGATTGAGTATTATGTAATTTTTATTATTATTGTAGTGATGAAAGAAATTACTTTGTCAAATTTGATAATACCCTGTAGTTACATGTACATTTACATTGACAGTACTGCAGATTATCAATTACATGTACATGACGTGTAATAAAAGCTACAATAAATGTACTTGCATTATGTGGGAAATTTCTGAAAATGTCAGCAATAAAATTCCAATTTGTTTGTATCATTAACCTTTTATAATGTTATTATTATTATTTTGAAAACACTCTGCAGCTTAAGCCTGCTTCTTGTCATTATATAAACACACTTTGAACACGTGAACGCACGTGATAAGAGCACGTTGCAGTGCATGGTGCGTAGGTGGGTAAGTATATAAATAGACCAGTAACAGGAGCTGGTTATCCTTCACTAGCAGCTTAAAGCCTGTGAAGTGTATTGTGTTGTGAGTAGTACATTGTATGATGTTTCAAATTCCATTGAAGGCGTTGATTCTATTAAATTAATATGGTTAGGTGCTTATGGGAGAAAATTCAGTTCCATGAATTTGTGATATGACCTTTGTTTGATGTACAAAAAAATGAAATTCCTTAAAATAACAATTATTTTTTGATTGCATCTGTGCTTCACTATGTACATGTAGAATTACATACAGAGCTCAGATAAAAAGGAATATTGCCTCGCATACATTGTACATGTACATTTATGCTTGTTGTCTTAGGTAGCCACATTGATTTGATGTTTTTTATGTGCTTATAAAATACATGTACATGTATATGTAACTGGCTTTTGACTTCAATTTTATGGGTTTTGCCTTCTACGTGTACATTATGATGCAATTGTGTAGTACATTAATGTAATCTTTAATTACTGTAGATTGAGAAATTTGTATGTTACAAATACATGTAATTGGTATGAAAAATTTCATGTTATTTTATTTTACTATTCAGTACATGTATCTTATCATGCATGTACATGTACATTACAAAACTCTTTTATGTGTTAAAATTTCAGTATTAGCCCTTAAAAATGGAATTATTTTAAGAGTGAAAATTTTATAACCTAATGCCTGTACAATTGTACATGTGTCCATTCACTGCATTGGAGTGTACCCATTGTATTTCTGTGCATGTGCATGTTATACATTGTACATGTACATCTACTGTACATGTACATGTTGTACATGTATACATGTACATGTACATGTGTGCGTTTATGTATTGCCTGTCTTGTTACATGGTCTTCTTAGTTTGATATTATAATTAATTTTTATATTTATTTTACTTGCTGTACATGTGTCATAGGGTTGTACACCATTCATGAGAGCCTGTCAGTATGGACACTTGCAATCATTAGAACAACTGGCAATGAAAGGACTACCAATGCAAGGTACTGTATACCATAGATGGGGAAATTAGTGTGGTAGAAAATTTTTGTGTTTTAAAATTGTGCTGCGATTTAATTTTTACTAAATAAGACTGTGCCATGTATTATTGAATGTGGCATATAATTATATGGGTGATCTAATTTTTTTGCGAAATTCTAATTCAGTAAAATTTAAATCACAATAACAATTTCCAGATAGACGGTATAACTTTTCTAGGAAAGGATTCTCCATTTTTTACATTTTTGATGCATGTACATGTACTGTTGTGTAGAAATTTTGAACTGATTTCAGTCAAATTAGATTTATTTTAAAATTTGAAGTTGTTAAAAAATCAGGTCAAAGACCCAGTACTATAGTGCAGGGTGTTTGTCCAATTTTTGTTTAAAATCACAAAAAGAAAATTGTTCATTTTAATTAAATGTTTTGATGTTGCATGCATTTACAACATGTACATGTACATGTACATCAATTTCACCAAATGGTGCATTCTGTATAGTGCAAAATTTTTTAGGGCTGTAAATTTCTCAAATTTCACAATTTTTTGAAGATTCACAAAAATTATTGTCATGGAAATCAAATTATTACGGTACAAGACGAACAGACGGCATAAATTTGTGAAAGTTAAATTTGTAAAATTCATATGAAATTTACAAACCTCGAAAATTTTGCACTATACGATGTACTGTAAAAATTGATTCTCACCAAAAATTGTTTATTATTTTTAGTGGCTGATGGTACAGGACTCAGAACATTGTTCCATTGCCTTCATCCTACCGGCAGACATGTGAAGTGTCTCTCATTTCTACTGGAGCTTGGAGCTGAACCTAATGCTAAGGTAAACTTACTGCATACATTGTAATACTAAGGTACATTTACAATGTAACGTTTTTCATTTTGTATAGAGTAAGTATGGTTAATCCGTAATTCCTATGCATGTACATGTACATGTGTACATGTACATGTATGTTAGTAATCAATTAAAAACTATAATTACATTGTACGTACATGTACATGTACATGTATTTTTTATACTTATACATGTACATGTACATGTACGTGTTTGTACACTGTACATTCTTACTGGCTTTACTTGACCCTTAATATTTGCATTTACAATGTACCTACTGTACATGTACATGTAGCCCATTAGTTACTGCACATTTTATAATTTGTTATTCTTTAGACAGTAGCTGGTCTACCATTAGTGTGTGCTGCAGCTAAGGAAGGACTTGTACCTCAACTTGAGAAACTGTTAGAGAAAGGAGCTGATCCTAATGCTAGAGATGTTGCTATGCGCACTGTATGTTTTTAATGTACATGTACATGTACAACGTACATGTTCATGCATGTGCTGTACATGTACATGTATACTTCTAGAGTAACTTTACATACTGTACATGTACATGTACATTGTATGTGTATAGCTACTGTAATTTATACATGTACATGTACATGTAATAATAATAGTGTGAATGTACATGTACAATGTACAGTAGTACAGGGACTTTGGCCAAATTTTTCAAAAATAAAAAGGAAAGAATTCTCTGTTTTAATAATTACATACGGTACATATGCATGTATACTTCTGATACATTATATAGTTCATGTATATGTTTTTATGTTGTGTTGAAGGTTTAAGCTGATTCTGAACAAATTTGAATTTTTTTATAAATTCTTAAAGTTGCTCAAAAATTTGCTAGAAATCAAAAGGAGAGAATTTTCCATTTTTCTAATTGTTTCATGTACAATGTACATGTATGCATGTTCTTAGTGTGTTGTGTGAAAAGTTTGAGCTAATTCTGATCATATTTGAATTTTTACAAATTTCTAAAGTTACTCAAAAATCCGGTCAAAGTCAAGGACTTCAGCCAAATTTTGCCAGAAATTAAAAGGACATAATTTTCCATTTTTATAAGTGCTTCTGATACATGTACATGCACATGTACATGTTCTTATGTTGTGTGGAAAATTTGGATTTGTTTTAAAGTTGCTTAAAAATTTTGTCAAATACAGGGACTTTGGCCAAATTTTGTCAAAAACTGAAAGGAGAGAATTCTCCATTTATTAACAATTGTTTCTGGTACATGTACATGCTCCTATGTTGTGTGGAAATTTTGTGCTGATTCCAATTAAATCTAGATTTTTTACGAATTTTTAAAGTTGCTCCAAAATTGGGACAGTGTCCTTGTACTGTAATATAGGGACTTTGGCCAAATTTTCCCAAAAATGAAAAGAAGAGAATTTTCCTTTCTTATAATTGTTTCTGATACATGTACCTTATGTTGTGTTAAAAATTTGAGCCAATTCTAATCAATTTTACAAATTTTTTAAGTTGCTAAGAAATCTGGTCAAACTGTGCACAACAAATTTTTCAAATTTTGCCAAAAAAATTAAATTTTCATTTTTATAAATTTTTCTGATACATGATTCCAATCAAATTTGGATGTTTATGATTTTTTAAAGTTGTTTAGAATTTGGGCCTAAGGCTCTAGCCTTTGATTTCAGGCAAAATTTTGTCAAAAAGGCTAGGAAAGAATTCTCCATTTTATTATTTTCTGGTACATTGTGCATCGACTTTTAGCTGATGTCAATCTTTTAATTTCAATTTTTATTCAATTTGTTCAAAAATTGGGCCAGCAACCACCAAAAGCTTTAGCCTTTGGTCTTTGGCTAAATTTTGAAAAAATGGGCTACGAGAGTTTAATAATTTTGTGATGCATGTACATGTACAGCATTTACGGTACTTGCTTGTGCATTATACATGTACATGTGCATGTGCACATTTTTAGCCTACAGTATACATGTATAGTACATATCAAAAAAAAGGCTAAGTAGCTACGCCCGCAGTTACTCTGCTTTTGCGTAGGTAGTTCGTTGCTACTGCAACAGTAGCTTGACAGTAGTGCGACAGTGGAAGACAATAGCATGGAGCAAAAAACATCCTAAACAGGCTTCTAGAAGGAGAGAGTGGCATTATAGAATTGAACTTGGAGAGGACAGACAGCTAAAAGAAGCATCCACAAGTTCTACTACAGTACATGTGTCTGGGTGGGATCGCAGCATGACGCAGTGAAGAGTAACGAAGAGTAGCGAAGTAGTAGCAAAGTACATGTACCTGCGAACTTCAAGGTTCTCTTCTCTACTGTATCCTACATCTACTTAGCCTTTTTTATGTCCACTGTAGTATACAATGTACATGTGTGTGTTGTGTATCAATTTTGAGCTGATTCTGAGCACAGATACATGTATGTACAGTACACATACAATAATGCACATTGTTATTGTCTTTTGGTTGGTAGTTTTGTAAAAATACATGTACATGTACATGTAATTTTACAATTTTTGAATATTTCTCATTTGAAGTATTTCGCCAATGCCCTAATTCTGGACATCTGGATGGCGTTATCAATAAATACCTGAAATATTTTAAGTGAAGCGTGTTTGAGTGTGTGTGGTTACAAGTAGCCATTTGTTCACAATTAGACAATTACGTCTACATACAAATGTGATTATTCCTTCATGCATGCATAGCTAATGCTGTCATGTACAGTATGTGCATGTACTCACCTGCTTAAAGCCAAACAGCCATCACTCAACAATTTTGAAGGCAAAACTTTATGTGTTCACTTACTGTACATGTAACTAGAACATTATTGTACATAAGATATTTTGTTGATTATTGTGCATACACTGTAAAAGGACACATTCATTTTGCCTTGTCAACAGCTTTGACTTTGCCCTTGAAGTCTATAATGCTGATCATGGGCATGGCATTAATTCATTAATGACATGACAATTATTTTAATGGATAATCTGTACATGTACATTGAACTTGCATACACGTGTACATATACATGTACATGTACATGTACTGTACATGTACATGTACATGTACATCTATGTATGTGTACATGTATGTACATATGTACATGTACATATAGGGGTATTGTCCTTTCTCTCTCACTTCCTTTCTTGATACTCTCTCTTTCTCTCTTTTTTACTTCCTTTCCTTTTTGTTCTATTCTTCAACATGTACATGTACATCCTTTATCTATTTCCTTTTTCCTTCTCTTCCTCCACATTAATGATGTTAAGCTATTAGTGGGACTGTACACTAACATGTGTCACTGGCTATTTTGTTTTGGGGGAGACTGAGGGAATTTCAGTACTATAATTTATACATGGAGCATTAATTTTATAATGGGCATTTCTTATGTTGTTTTTTTCAGTACATGGTACATTTCTGCCAGCTACATGTACATGTACATATACTGTATATACATGTACATGTACATGTAGAGCCCAAGCCTTCCTTGTTACTATGTTTATTCCTTTCTCTTGTTTCTCCCCTCTTTGTTTTTTCTTTCTCACTCCCCCTCTCTATCACTCCCCCTCCCTCTCCTCCGCTCCATCAGATATTAGGTAAGCCAGCTGTTGTTTTCGCTACGGAGGCTGGTCATTCAGATTGCCTGAGGCTATTAGCTGTATCAGGAGCTGATCTTGATGCCGTTTTTGGTGACTATAATCTGAGCGCACTTCACAGGTAAAATGGACAACAACACCTATAGACTAATGACGATAATTGATAGTCTTGTGGTCTCGCATACCGCATACCTATCCCAAGCCTGAATGTACACAATTCCATGTATTATACACAGTATACAGTACATGTACATCAATTTATCTAATAGTATTACTTCATCTTCAGTTTAATTAATGTGTGTGGGTGTAGGTGATCGGTGACTAGGTGGTGTGCATTACTCAGCTATTACATCATTGCACTGTATTTACTCAAAAATGCTAACGTAACATTTTAGTGGGGATTGTCATGTACAATGTTGTACATGTACATTTATATAGTAATGCTTGTACATGTATCTGAGCCAATGAGTCCTTCATTATGATGTAATGATATTGTTACTGTTATTAATAATTGTTATCAATATATCACAAAGACTGTATTTATTATGCATGTTAATATTTTAAGTTTGTACATGCATTACATGTACTGTAGTATGAAAGTGGGGTATTTTGAAAGTGGGGTGTACTGTACTTGCAATTTTACTTTACCTCAACTTGATCATTATCATAACCATTATTATTATTATTATTATTATTATTATTATTATTATTATTATTATTATTATTATTATAACTAAAAGAAGAAAAAAAACAAAACAAAAAAAACCACAAAGATGTTAGTATTATTATTATTATTATTATTATTTTTAGAGCTGCTAGTCTGGGGATGTTTGAGTGTATTCAAGTCCTCTCAGCTTATGGTGCTAACTTTAATATTTTGAGCAGTTATAATGATACAGCAATTCACTTTGCCACAGTAGCATACAAACTACTCTGCATCAGACTACTGGGACAGAGAGGTACAGTACATGTATGTGCATGTGTACTATACGTAATTGTACATGTACATGTAATGTAATACGTACATGTAGATGTGGGTAGTAGTAATGCAATTAGTGGGTGGGGATAGTTTTGGTATGAGTGGTACAGTACGTGTGTGTATGGGCTGTGGTTGTTTTACTTGTTAGTGATTGCTGTTGGTTAGTGAAATATTACATTCTTGTTTTTGTTTTTGTTGTGTTTATACACAATGTACATGTATTTGGCAATTGTGGGAATCAGGAACTGTTTGATTACAAACTATTTGTATGTATTGCTTTGGTGGTATTTTGTTGTTACAATTTATTATGTAACAATCCAGATGAGCTTCATTCCTTCTCTCTTTCTACGTGTACATGTACATCTACAGCACCTGTACTGTATTTGTCCTCCCTCTTTCCAAATAAACAATATCATAATGATTTTATTATTATGCGGTACTACATGTGTACATGTACATTTGTATAAGTTGTACTTTAATTTAGGCAGATTGCATGTACTATGTACAATAGTGCAATAACTATACAGTATGTTTGTTTCTCTCTACCAATACTCTACTGTAGGTTGTCCAGCTAATGAAGTCAACGAAGTGGGCCAGACTCCTCAGAAGATAGCTAAAGCTGAGGGTATGAAGGATGCCTTGAAAGAGCTTAAAAAGCTAACAGGATATCAGGACAAAGTTGGAAAGGGTGGAAAGCCAAAGGGATTCGCTGAGTCATGGTGCATAAAGGTAAGCCTGCACTGGGCTCTGCCTTGATAGTTACATGTACATGTACATTAAGGTTACTACTGTATATTCTTTGAGGCTGAGTCTACTTGTTGTTATAACGTTTTATGTCTGTCTGTGCTTATGTAGAGTGGTCAAATCAGACTTTAGTGAATGTTGTACATGTACATGTACACTGTACATACTGTACATGTAGTGCTACTGTCTCTTTAGTTGTTATTGTTTCTATGGCTGCTAGCTGATCTTGTGGTACAATCTTAAAACTTTAAAGAGTCTGATTTATACAATGGGCTAGCTAGCTACAATGTGCATGTACATGTACTGTACATGTACATATAGCATGGTTAATACATGCATGTACATGTACGTATATAAAGCTTGTGATACATAATGAACCATGTACTGTACATGTATGGTGGGAATTTTTTGGTACTTTAGTGCTAGTTGGTTACAATTATTGCCTGAACTACATTGTATGTGTACATGTACATGTACATGTACAGAGTACATGTACATATACATGTACATGTGCACATCTCATGTTGTGTGGTGTAAACTTTTTGATTTGTACCTCAAAAGGATTCACCTTTATTTTCAGGTGTTAGAATGTACATTTAGCATAATTGGCAATAACAACACCTAAACCATAGCAGCTTTATCCTCCACTGGCTCAAAGTCAATTGGAAATTTGACACTTCAAGTGTTTTTATTTGATTTTTACATTTTGTATTGATTAATGAGTCTCCCAATGTAAACATGTTTTTAAGTTTTTGTGCATTGTACAGTACAGTACAGTAGAATTTTGACACATTCTCTTATAATTAGTGTCATGGCAAATGTGTATTTACATGCATGTATCCCAAAATCCTTGTACATGTACATGTATCGTCACCAATTTACATGTACAATGTACATGATGGCTACATGTACATGTACATGTATTTTAATATGGGTTTCCCACAAAGCATGCTAGTGACATGTATCGTAAATACATGTAAGTTAAAAAGCATGCTTGACATGCTTACAGTATATAGAAGTTTTTGAGTAACTTTTAAAATTCAACTTTGATCGGAATCAACTCAAAATGATGCATGTATCTACATGAATCATTGCTGTGTTTGATGACATTTGACAAAATATCAGTATGGGATGATTTGTCAAGTTTTTGAACAACTTTAAAAATCCACTGACAAGAAGCTGAGCACTATACTAAAATCCTGTAATTATAATCATAATATTTCTACATGTAGTTATATGACTGGCTTCAAGTGAACAAACTGGTGGTATGGGAATCACTCCAGAACTGTGTTGACAATAAAAACGGAGTACTACCAGTTGAGACATTCAAGACACTAATAGTTGAAGGAATGGAGGCACCAATAGGCGAGGAGGACTGGCCCAAGCTCCTAAAGATTTATGACAAGAAAAATGAAGGAGTATTGAACTGGGAGGACCTCCTGTTAAATCATAAGTACATTCATGCTGTAAGTATTGGATTTCTCATACACTGTATTGATACACTGTATTCATGATATACCTTTATTCATGGATTGTACATACATACATGTACATGTATTGATGGTGTTTTATGATGGGATACCTGATGACACTGTTCTGTAATCCCTGGTATGTCTCTGTGTACATGCTCCAAAATTGCAGTTTGATATTGTTATTCATCATGTACACTTGTATGTGTTTTAGTAGTAATTATTGGAATATTTTCTGAATGCATTGACACTGTAATTTGTAGTATTGTGTGTTCCCCTCTTTTGTAATTGGATTACACCTTCAACTTTCATTTTTAATATTAAATATTTCTTTCTGTGCATGTACAGCACATACACTGTACATGCATGTACACATGTATACATGTAGTATTATGCTTTATTATTTTGTTCTGTAGCAATTCAAATTGGGTCCTAATGATGACATCAAGGGAAAGAAAGTAAGTGACATCTAATATGCTTCAGCTATACATATAGAGTACAATTGTACATGTACATGTAGATGTACATACATTGTACATGAATGATCTTGTATTAAATTTTTTGACACTTTTTGTGCATGTACTGTAGTGTGTATTTACATGCTCCTACAATATCTCATCATTTTATAGGGAAAGAAAGGGAAGAAGAAAGGTGGAAAGAAAGGAGGGAAGAAGGTACAACTGTAGCACTATGTACATACATACATGTACTTTTACATATGCATATCTTATATGTTATATGTTACATATCTAATATGTTATATGTTACATAATGCATATATGTTTTACATATGTTAGGGAAAGGGAAAGATATTGTTTCCCATTTATTTTGAGGCTGAGCGTCCGCCAGTGGCTGGAGTAGCTGATGGACTGATAGAAAGAGAAGAAGTGAGTTTATTGACTACATGTACATGTACATGTACAGTGTATATTACATGTACATTGTACAGTATCAAAGTTTCAAGGGACTGAACTTTGTGAGTGGGGCTACAATAATATTATGATATGCAGTGTACATTGTATTTTCACAAATCAATTTTTGCTAGTTCAAATACAGAAAATACAGAAAATCCACAAAAAATAGGGAAAGTTGTACCCATACTGTAAAACAATACTCAAAGGGAGAATGAACGTATTATTTTAAGAATGTTTTACATGTAGGGAATTGGTATTGTTTTGATAAGGCAATTAATCTAACAAATCACTTGTTACCTGTACATGTTACATATACATGTACATGTACATGTATTTTGTGTTGATTTATGGGATATTTTTTGACACGGGTACTTAATTTTACACAACAGATTCAGTGTAATCACACGTGAATGAAATAATATGTGTAACTCCCACTTGTAATGGGAAATTTTGTGCATGTACTTGTACATGTGGTGGTTTGTTTGATGAATTTTTAGTAGAACACTGCTTAATGAGACATTGCTTTCAGCTTTCAATAACAGCATAGCATGCATTGGCACTAAATTTCCTTTCTATTGGTACTATGTGTACGTGTACTTTCCCTCCTGTATCTCCTTTATTACTCTAAATTCTGTCTCTAATTTGCATTGGCATCTCCCTCACTAATAGTATAATTATACTGTTGTTATGGATGGGAACATGAGGTGCCTTATGTCCAGTTGTGAGTGGATAACACCTGCCACTGGTTTCCTTTGAACCTGTAGTACATTAGTATTTTTTTCCCTAACTTAGGGTGCTGTAGCTATGAATGTACATGTACATGTACATGTACATGCTGTATGTACATGTACATGTACAGTTACACATTGGCATTGATATTTGATATATTGTACTTTTACATTTACTCTTATTTATTCCTTAATAGTATTTAACTGATTATCAAAGATTCAGTGTACCTCTACCTAATGGACTCATTGATGATTCACCATGGTACCTCATGCCTCAAGGTATAATTATGGTATCAATATATGTAGTATATGTGCATGTATTAATTCAATTAATCTATCAGTATGTGAAGTTATTGTATCTAATTGATTTAGTGGTCATGATCTTGTCACTATATCTTTACTTGCTAGGCTGTCTCAGCTCCACCCCCTCATGCTCTTATTGACCATACAGTACTCTTTACTCTTCTGTATAACTACATGTACATTTACCATGACTACATGTTTTTTGTACATGTACTGTGTGTGATACATAATGTGACAAACTTTTATTCCTTTTCTTTAAACAGTGTACAGTTCACATGTACATGTACATCTCCATAGTTTGTGTGCATACATGTACATGTACATATCTTTGTGCGTGATTGTCATTAGTGTAAGAAGAAACCATGAAGCTACATTTACATGCATGTACATCTTCACTGTATGTACATGTACATGTGTACATGTTCACTGTGCATACGTATAATGTACATGTACATGTACTGTGTACATGTAGAAGTATAATTCTGTATAAAAACCTGCAAATAGAATTACACTTCAATAAATTAAATTTTCAAATTAGTCATCCAAATACATGTGTACATACACATATACATCTAGCTACAGAAACTCCATGCATTTTTTGGCTTTTAACATAATATTTGCTAATGATAGTAATAATTGATTTTTACCTTTAAAGTAAATAATGTACATGTACTGTACTTGTACATGTGTACTCAATAGCATGTATATGTACTATGCATGTACATCAGCTCAGTAAATTAAAGTTTTGCAGTTTAGTTTTGCTAGGCGGTTAATTTATAGTTTTTATCATAATATTTATTGAAGAGTTGATTAGATTATTGTCAATTTAAAAGGCGTGTTTTTATCACAGCTGGTCAAAATAACTGTCTGGATTTGCCATTAGCTCCCCATCACCAAATACATGTACTACTTGTACGTGTACATGTACATGTATGTATAGTGTATGTGCATGTACAGTACATGTACTTCCTGGTTCAAACTGGCTGTTGGACCAATTCATGTGTATTTTATTTCTTTTTCATGTACTGTACTTGCCTGGGTTTATTTTGATTTATTTCCTGTATTATTTCATTTTCTTAAGATTTAATCTACATATACATGTACATGTACATACATGTACATGTACCAGTATTAATTGTACATGTATTTATTTTATTATTATTGTAGAGCCGTCCTACATCAATCTATACGAAGCAATACGTCACGGAGACTTTGACTCAATAGAGCTGGCACTGTCAGAGACTGGAATGAGTCCTGACGCTAGGGACAAGTACAACAAGACTCCTTTGATGATAGCAGCAGCTCACGGACGCTGTGATGTAGCCGAATATCTCATCACTAAAGGGTAATGAGCTTATTGTGGAGTGTTTGCAAACTCTGTGACATACACTAATAGTCTTTGATATGTGTACTTGTGTACAATACATTTGTTCATGTACAATGAATATTGTATGTATATTGACTCTGTGTGTGTGTGTGTGGTGTAATTTATTATTTCATTTATCGTCAATTTTACATGTACATTACATGTACAGCTAGTTACATGTACAATGTAGGAGATATTTTTCATTCTGTAAATGTACATGCAGTGGCGTAGCCAGGGTAGGGCACAGTGGGGCACATGCCCTGCCAGTCTATGCTTGTGCCCTACCAACTGTCATAGTGTTCTGACTGTTCTCTTGTCTATAAATTGTATGTGAAGTCCACTTGTCCATAGTGTGCCCTACTACCATCATAACCCTGGCTATGCCACTGTGTACATGTACATGTACATACTACAATCAGGTGTTCATGTACAGTGTATTTTTTTATTTGATGTGCATTTGTGCTGTACATGTACGTGACATGTCTGTGTGTGTGACACTATGTGTTCTAACTTCTAAGGTTGAAAGTGATCTAACTGTGTGGCTATCTTTGTGAGTGAGTGTGTTGTAGCGCTGAGTGTCAAGTGAGTTTCAGATGAACTCTGTTACTGAGGAAAGAGTAATGCGTTTGAAGTGGGCCAATAAAAGTTAATTTTAGGGCGATAAACAATGTCTAGATGTACTCGTATTTCTGATAGTATTAATGTGGTTTCTTTGATCATGTTTATCTCAAAGGATACATGTACATATATGTATATGTACGTGCGTATACTTGTAAATGTATTTGTTAAGTTCATGTTAAAATCGGAGAATACATGTACATGTACTATACATACATTGTATCTGTACATGTACAGTATAGAAGGATTGAGGAAGGAAGGATTAGACTATGACAGTGAGTCTGGAGATGGTGTACATACATGTATACATGTATGTACATGTACATGTATGTGTAGATGGGTAGACTGGATACATGTACGTGTACATGTACATGTACTGCTGTGTGTGTTGTATTGACTGTTGTGCTTGGCTGTGAGAGCAGCATTCCATTGATCACCGGTCCCTTACAATCCAAGACTAACCAGTGGGCATGAAGGGACTCTAATCTATTGGAACTTACACTAACTGATGGAACGTTTATTTCGCTGATGAGCTACATAGACATGTACAATGTACATGTACATTAATTTATCTCTCATAATAACAAGATTCATGCATGTACATGTAGGTTTATAATATGGACTACATCATGAATAGTCTTAGTTAATTGTTGGGTACATATGTCCTTTTTTATGTACAGTCTACATGTTATTGAATTTTGTTGTTATTATCTTTTAATTATTGTGCTGATGTTGTGGACAAAATATTTTAATGAACAATATCCTACGCTTCTTAGAAATCTCAATCATAAAAATGGAGCTATCATCAGTTTTTAATTATCAGTAATTAAGAGCTGGCTTGTTTATTGCGTGTTCCTTTTAGAATAAGGACTGGTTTTCTCGTGAATAATGATGTGTTCACATTATGTTCATTACTTTTTGTTCTCTCTCTCTGTCTCTCTCTCTCTCTCTGTCTCTCTCTGTCTCTCTCTGTCTCTCTCTCTCTCTTCCCTCCCTTTCTTTCTAGAGCTGATGTAAATGCAATTGATAATTTCATGTGGACTCCATTACATCATGCTTGTCATGCAGGCGAGGTATATACATGTACATGTATATGTATATGTACATGTAATTCAATACAAACATGTAGATGTAGTTTATTAGTCATTACATTATATTATGTAACTCTGGCATGATTAACACTATACTCTTACTGTACTAGACATTGCATAGCCTAACAGTGGCATGTAATAGATTGTATGGGGGTGTATTGTGGAACCTGACATTTCGTGAGATTGTAATGCATTTTTAATTATAAACGAGTCACTTTGTCGTCTGTATTCAAACATTCCATGCCCAATACAATTATTGAGTCATCAGCCTCTACTCCTTTGATTATGCAGCTGTAGCATACATGTACATGTACAGTGCATGTACATGTACATGTATGTTCCATGCCAATCCTCTACAGTACATGTTATCATGCATGATGAGTACATTTAACTCAGTTAATGTGTCCGTAATGTGTTTGTGTGCATTTTTGTGATGGGATGGATTGGTTACTCCTATGCAAACATACTCCTCTGGTTGGAATGTCTCTGAGGGTATTCTCTGTGGTTAAGTGATTACACCCCATTATACTCCACTGTCTGTTCTTGTTTATCATCATAGGAAGCTGTGGTTAGGCTCCTATTGACTTCAGGAGCAAACACTGATAAACAGTCCTTCAATGGAGGGACTCCGATAATGAGAGCCATTGAGAGCTCACAAAGAAGTATTGTCAAACTTTTATTGGAGAAAGGGTAGGCACATGTACATGCATGTACATACATTGTAGGTGTACATGTGTTGCGTAGGATATGAATGTGAACATGTGTACTGTATGCATGTACATGTACATGTATTATAAGTTGTCTTTTAATTACTTATACTACATGTATATCGAAATTTGTTATATTCAGAAAATGAGAGTGGGATGAGTTGATGTAATGTTGACTCTCCAATAATTTTGCCTCCCCTATGCATGTACAGTACATGTACATGTATGTACTGCATAAAGTACATGCATATCAGTACAAGAAATCTATTTTTTATGTAAATGTATCTTATCCCATTTTATGATTCCTTCTCTCCCTCCCCCCCTCTCTCTCTCTCTCTTTATACAGTGCAAAGTTGAACCTTGAGAACAGTCATGGTGACACTGCGCTAGATATAGCCAGGAGCTGGGGTGACGACATCATATATGCCATGGTTTATGCGGTAGCAGCAAAACAACCTCCTCCGGAGGGAGATGGTATGTCAATGATGCCAGGTGTCTCTGCCACTAAAATTGCATTTGAGATAATTGAATTTTACAAGTTTGGTAGTCAGAGTTGTTATTGGGTTTATAGTGTTTATTGTCACTATGTGTCTAATGAGCAGCTTTTAACACCTCCAGGGAAAAAGGATAAGAAGAAAGATGATAAGAAGAAGAAAGGAGGAGGGAAGAAGGGGAAAGGAAAGAAAGAAGATAAAGGACCAGCAGTCATACCAGTAAGAAGAAGGGACACATGTACATGTAACAATTAATGTACATGTACATACTGTACACCCTGTATACATGTACATACATGTGCATTACATATGTACTGTATGTATGTACATGTACATTGTGTGGGGGGTAAGGGGGAGTTTGATAAGCTTGTGATATGAAGTGTAAGGACATTGGTATGTGAATCTCTATGATGTTTATGATTAAGTACTCCTTCATACCAAAAGAACCACAAACCCACTACCAATGGACTTGGAATCATAATTATATTATTAAAGTAGAGACATTAATATCTGATATCATGCTTACAATATCAATGACTCATCTCATAGTTTAAGCCTTGGAACTGTTGCTGTTAGTTACAGTGCAGTCTGTTTCTCTAGGGCCCACCGATAGTTCCTCTCCCTCTTCCGTCACGTCTCCCCACAGCCCAACAATGTGTGGAGGAGTCTAAGAAGCAAATCTCACTTGCTAGCTTACAAGCTGATACAATCGTAAAACCAGTTACGTCTCCTCGCCTCAGGCAAGCTTGGGGAACTGATCAATTGTCTCCCGTGAGTAAAACAATACTTTTGATCATTAACATTGTAAATAACTCTAACTCTTCTCATCTCTTCTCTCATTTCACTCTTTCTCTTCTTGTTATTTTTTACATGCATTATAGAGGCGGTTTCATGCACAAATGGACAAGGATAGAGAGCAGAGAGGCATAGATGTGATTGACTTTGATGAAATTCGAACTCCGTTTCAAATACAAGTTGCAGCAAGAGCTAAAGCCCTTGAAATGGCTGATTTTTGACCTTGCACTTTGACACCTCACAATTTAATATGTTGTACTATAGTAATAATAAATAAAATAATAATGATTATGATGACGATGATGATGTTGATCAGAGTATACATAAATTTCCTGCTTCCATACTAATTTAGCACGTCCCACTTTATTTGTATGGTTTCACGTTTGCAGAGCATAAATTGACGTTTTCTGAGCCACTTTGTCACTTATCAACCTCTCGACTCCTTCCCAGGAAATAAAGAAAATGTTCAAGTTCTCCTCACTGCTGTTACTCGTTATCGCCGGGGCCTGCCGGGCCAGCTTCTTTATACCGGGCAGCACCAACCAGCCAATGTCTTGCAATGAGCCAGTAAAGGGATCAGGCCAAGGGATCAATATAACGGAGAGCTGTAGTCCACTGTTCTACAGCCACTGTTTTCGCTACAGATACGGCAACACCTTTACTTACTTGCCTAACTGTGTCAAGAGTCAAAGTGAATACGATGCCAACGAAGCATTCCGACCTTACGTCGAAAACATCCTCTCCTTCAATAGACCAGACGCCTCTAATGCCACCAAGGAATGCCTGGATGAGCTCATTCCCTTGATCTGTAACGCCTTTTATCCACTCTATTATGGCTCGTCTTATCTAGCGCCATGCACAGGTCACTGCCAGAGTGTTTTCTCCAAGTGCATGGAGGCAGGTGTCCCTGTTAACCTCTCATCTTGGAACTGCACCTCTATGTTCGATACCAATTGTCCAGCTGTTAAAGATAGGGATATCAAATGCATGGAGCCTTGTAAAGTAGCTGAACCAGAACCTCCTTCATGCTTCAAGAAATGCAATGTTTCAGCTACATCAATGAAAGTATGTACCAAAAAGGAAAGAAAGTGTTCTGCCAGCCATAGGCAGGTGAAACCCTCGGTGTCTGGGAACCAATTTGGAAGATTTGAATTTGGTAAGTTTATTTTTTTTATTGTGGAAAACATTTTAATGATTCTTCTATTCAGGTGCTAAAGTTGAAGTACTAGAACAAGTCCATCTCTGTGAGCCCAGAAACTCGATTGCTTATAAAGTGAAGGTTCTTCACGACTACTTCCTTGATTGTAAGAACTGTCACAACACTAGTCAGGAAGTGACCTCTGGGAGTATCATATATGTTCTCACCACGGACACAGTTGATACTTGTAAGGAGAGATGCATTGAGAATATGATGACAATTGGCGAAACGTACTTCATTATGGGACAGCTTGTTTCGGATTACTTAGCACAATGCGGAACAAAAGTCTGGATATTGGACAGAACCAAGAGAAATAGATCGGTCATATATTTATGGGACAAAGTCCTTAAAGATAAAAAGAACAGGAGAAATAGCCTTTACGACCTTGCACTAGATAAGTTTGTCTGCAAATGGCCTTGCACACGTTCCTCTATTTCATGCAATAACTAACACTCATGTAAATTTTTATCTTCAATCTGTAAAATTAATGCATTACTTCTTAAGTCTACAGTATCATTATTATAACATGATTATCATTATTATTATTATTGTCCTCAGTTTGTTTCAATTAATTCACTATAATACTATATTATAATAGATCTACTAATTATTATTAAAATTTTATTCTATAATCTCTGTCACTTGCTGATTGGTAACTGAAGTGGAATATTGCTGCCTCGTATGACCCATCTATGGTCTGCTTTCCTTCGTCTCATTCGATACACATCGCTATCCAAATGAGACGCAATCTTCTTGTCTCTGTAGTCCTCCATAAGTTTCTTCCTTGCCAGTTTTAAGAGTGATAGGTTGCGCTGTGTTTGTGCGATGGATTCCATTGTTGACGCTGTTGCTCGTAGGAGTGTTGCAGCTTCAGGTAAATCAGTCCCTGGATGTTGCTGATAGACCTTTACCAATGGCCGGTCTAGTCTCTCTCTTTTGGTGATATCGGCTGATGACTCAGGGCCCTGCAGGTGTACCACAATAATTAAAAGGAATGCATTGTGAATAGGAAGAAACACACATACTGCTTAAAGGCATCATTGTCATGCAAGACATGCAGGAAATGGTTATTAAATCATTACCAGTAAATATCCGAGAGATTTCTCTTGCTGTTTCAGTAGTCTTGATGATCTCTGCTCAGTTAGTTTAGTTTCGCCGCTATTTACGAGTAGGTGTTGCTACAATTATGAATAAAAAATGATTATTACCAAAGCTGATTATTTTACCTCTAATGTGACAGTTTCTGCAATCTTTTGAGTTAGCGCATCGTTAACTAGTTGCTGCATTGATGACTGGTGCTGGCGTGACATTTCAATGGCTTGAGCACATTCATGCCTTAGCACTGAGCTCTTCTGACATAAATCCAATGCTCTTTGTATTGATTCCGTTGTAGCTGGAGTGACTGAGCTCAGTGGCCCAACTATTATGACAAGAGTTCAATGGTTGTGGTTAGTATAATTAGATTTGAACTGTCTGAGAGGAAACTTACATTGTTCGTGACTGCCCAGGAAGATTGCTGGAGCGGAGAGTGCTTTGATGTGTCTTGGTGACGTAGTGGGTTGTGTAGAGCGTGGATTACTTGACACTGAATGACATAACAGCTCTGTTGTGCGACTTCTCTCTTGCATCACTGATGTCAGAGCACTCCTTGACGCATTAAGCATCTATAATTAAATAGCATTACTTGGAAAGTCACTCATCCTTGAAACTCACTTGCAAGACTGCTAGCACGTTTTTTAGTCTACACTCAAGTCCATTTTTCTGCTGAAATAACTGCTTGTGCTCTTTACCCAATAAATGATCTGCCCCATCACTTGGGCACTAAATGTAAATGGTAAAGTAATTGTAATATTGTGCATGACATTACTCATTACTTGTTCTCTCATTGGTCTTTCTAGCCTCATTGATACACACTGTGTATTCATGGTGATGTCTTTGCGACAGTGATCTAGTGATCTTTCTAATTGTTGCCGTACACGGTTCAATGCTTTTATTTCTTCATTAACGGCTGCAATTACTTGCTTGAGGCGTATAACAACCTCTCTGGTTGCTCTCGCATATGAGTGGATTTTCTTGTTACTTTCATTGATGCATGAATCTCTTAATGATGGCAATGGATTCTTTCGTCTGAACTGATCTGACTTCTCTTCTGCTCTCACGATAAGAGTTTGGGCGACTTTTATTGCTGCTATAGTGGATTCTTTCCACTGTTCTGGTCCCACAGATGCCATTGGGGCTCTCCAGCAAAGAGCTACGCCCAAGGTGTGAAGTGACGTATGACGCCCATTTAAGAATACGGTGCCGTATACTTCCAAGCAAAATTTATTCGGGGGTTTCCGACTTTTCCCGAATACGAACGGTGATTGACGATAATGCTATCCTTATAAATGTAAGGTTTTGCCAAATACACTTTTGTTTGCTATGATTTAATTAATTTGGTTTATTTTTAAAATAAAAATAGCTCTTGTACTTTAAATATTGGAAATTTTTGTCAGAACTAGTCTTGCGTGCAGAAGGGGGGAGCAGGAGACCAGGTCAGAAACAGCTCAAATGTTCTACACAACACGGAATTTATACATATTGTACCATGATAAAGTGGAGAATAATCTCCTTGAAATTTTTGACAAAATTTGAGTAACTTTAAAAATTTAATTTTGATTGGAATCAACAAATTTTCTACTCCAAAATAATCACTTTTGGCAATCATTCATGTCCCATTTCAACCCCGACAATTTATGTACTTTTCATGCTTTGTGTCCATGCAGCCAGTGTATTATTCATTCACCACATCATTGATTATTAGTTTGTTTTTTTTTGTTTTGATTTCAGGGGCCCAGTGTATTTACTGGGTTTCCTTCAGCTCACATAATTCATTACCCTCTGATTTACACTTTTTATTCCGTGCTGTAAAGTTTATTAATAATAATAATAATTAGTACATGTTCCTGGGAAATTTGCCGTAAAAATAAGTTTTTCCTGGAGGATTTGCCAAAAAAATTTTTTGGGAAAATTTGTTAAAAATTTTAAATTGTTTTTCATAAACAATTTACTGGGAAATAGATTTTTCTACAAAAATTTGCAAGAAAATATTATTTACCATGCCTGGAAATCATTTTTTCCTAGGATTTGTCTGTGAAAAGTTAATTTTGCAGTGATTTGCTGGAAAATCAAATTTTCTGAAAAATTGGCCAGGAAAAAAATTATTTAGAGAACTTGGACGCAATTTTGGAGAAATTATAAACAATTTTTAAAAACCTAATTGTCATTGGAATCAGCTTAAATTTTTACAAAACATAATTACATAATAATGCATCAGAAAATTATATAAGTTGAAAATTTTCTGCTTTTCATTATCGGTGAAATTAATTTTAACCAATTTTGGAATGACTTAAAATTTGTAGAAAAATTTAATTTTAGTGGAATCACCTCAAACTTTCTGCACAACATAAATAAATGTATGTGCATCACAAAATTTAGATGATGTTAATGCAAATTTCCCCCATCAGCTCAGTGTTTTTAACAACACTGATGCATTGGGAGGTTCTATCCCATAAGTCATGCATGCATTTCATAACAATTAATGAGAGTAAGCTTCTTCATGCTCTTAACTATTATTAATTTTAGTAAAACTGCTACATAAAAATCAGTAATAAAATTAATAAGCTAAAATTACAAAAACAATGCACTAAACTATAAAAGTGGAACAAATCTGTCTTTATTATTTTCTACCACCTCTGTTTCTCACTTCATTGATAGTGCCATACAGCTCAACACTGATGTCACGATCAAAAATCAAACTGACTTCAACATCACTGTTATCATTGACAGCACTTATAGACCTTTTCTTCCAGTCCAGACATTTCCTGTACATTAGCTTTATTATCCACAGCAACCCAAACAACAAAGGAAAATACACAAGCAGTAATTGAAAACACTGGAGTACAGTCACTTCATTAATATAGTGCTTATTACCAGTGACCATATTGATCCTCATGCCAAGACCATTGATTAAGAGGAGAGCAAGCAAAGTGAGTGATGCTAATATATTGTGACCTGTTTTCTGAAAAGGTTGTACAACAGACTGTATACCAAATATGATCATCAAGATCATCTCATTAACAAAGTGATACTGCAAGTTATCGGAAAAAATGAAAAGGTTAGCTAAAATAGCTGTA